AGATCTTAAGAAAAAGTCGAAGTGTAATAGTAATAATATTAATAATAAAAATAAAAAGGTAAATCCTAATACATCATCTCTAGCTGGATCACATAGCATCTCACATGTAATGGAGTCAAGATGGGCAACTTAAAAGGAAAAATATAAAAACAGGTCCATATTTCGGCAGAGATTACGACTTTCTGGTACACGTTTATATCCTTATATATATAATTATTAAATTTAAGAAAGAGAAAACAAAAAACCCATTAATTTTCTGAGAACGAGAATCTGAGGACTTCCGGGTTTTCTAACGCATAGTTATTAGAGCTGTCTGTGAGTGATCAGATCAGTAATATTTGTAAAGATAATAAGTGCGGAGTAAAATATTGCAAATATATCGTAGGAAACTAATTAATATTTCAAAATTCGAGTTTTAAATGCAAAATCTAAAGCAACCTACATAAATGCCATATTCTTCTCTCAAATTTCTTGCCAGAAACCCCGCTCCACACTTCCAATTTTGCTTGCTGGACCGACTCTAATGTATTCCCCTTTTCTCTCTTCTCTGGTTTATCTCTCTCTCTCTCTCTCTCTCTCTCTCTCTCTCTCTCTCTCTCTCTCTCTCTCTCTCTCTCTCTCTCTCTCTCTCTCTCTCTCTCTCTCTCTCTCTCTCTCTCTCTCTTTCTATTTGTTTTGTAATTAAATGATTTGTCATCTAGCTGAAGAAGAGTCAATCTAAAATGCATCATTGTCTGCCATATATGGCAATTTAAGGAAGGAAAACATATTCATGTATTCCCATTTGAATTGCAATTTTTATTGGGCAGTTTAAAACTGAAATGGGTCTGCTTTACTAATTACCTCATCATAATATTTCAAGAATACTTTTGTGCCTAAAACCTTAAGATCCGTTTATTAACAGAAATATTTTTCAATTTTTCAGAAAACTGGAAATATGGAAAAGGAAAACAGAAAACGTGTTTACCCAAAAAATTGCTGGAAAACTAGAGAAAGGAAAACAGTAAATTGCGTTTACCAAATGGTTTTCCAAAACAAAAAAATGAGATATGTCTTTGTTTTCCTTAATAAAATGGAGGAGTGACTTTTACTAGTTTTCCAAATTTGGAAAACACGGATGCTGCAGTCTCACTGCAATGAATTTGCATAATAACGCCTAGTGTTGGATCTGGTTCGGCTCCGGTGTCAGTTCCAGTCTGGTCCGGTCAACGACTCGACGGTCCCTATCTGGTCCGGTCAACGACCCGGGGGTCGACAGTCGAGCAATCCCGGTCCATTCCAGTTGACAACCCAACAGTCTCGGTCCGGTAGACGACCCGACAGTCTTTGTCCGGTCCGGTCCACGAACTGATGGTCTCTGTCTGGTCCGGTCCACGACTTGGCGGCCCCGTCCAGTCCGGTCCATGACCCGACTGTCCATGTCCGGTCCGATTGATGACCCATTGGCCCCTGTTCGGTTCAATCCACGATGAGGCGGTACTTGTTCAGTTTGACCGACGACCGGGAAGTCTCGGTCCGATCTGTTCTAGTCAATGACTTGGCGGTCCCCGTCCGGTCTGATCAATGACTCGGCAATCCCCGTCCTGTCCAGACAACCACCCGACGGTCTCTGCCCTGTCTGATCAACGATCCGGTGGTCCCCGCCCTGTCTGGAAAATGACCCGACGGTCTTAGTTCGGTCCAATCGACAACTGGGTAATCCCGACTTTTCCCGTAAACGATCCGACGATCCCTGTTTGGGTCGCTCAATGACCCGGTGGTTTAGTCTCGATTTTTCGAAATCATTTTGTAAATTGAAGACTTTTAAAAAAGCCGTTGAGATTTCAACCAATAGGAAAATGGAAAAAGAATTCATCAAACTAATTGTTGAGATCGACCGGGACCGGCCAGTTTTGATCCCGACTTTCCTATATGTGTGACCCAGTACCCTACTTGGGTTGTACTAGGTTCCGTTCCGGACTGGGACCGTAATTTCGGTCTTTTGGTCAGCCACAGAACGCTGGGTGAAAAAATTGTAAACATGTTTTCAGGTTTGAAAATGGAAAACTAAAAAATGAAAACAAAAAATTGTAGATAGAAAAACTGGAAAATGAATACAGAAAATTGGAGAACGGAAAATGGGGATGTTGTGATTGAGGTTAGTAAAAACAAATACTTTGGCACTAATACAAATAAACGATGTGAGTGAATATGCTTCAAAATCTATTAAGAATCATTTGAATGTGCAGATACAAGCTGGAGGTGGAAATAAGGAGTTTGTAACAGAAAATGGAAGGCAAGAAGAGTTGGTTACTTGCAATGTGAATTTGTGCTAAATAGGTAGGTAGTCAAATACTCCATACTTTTTAACATTACTTTAAAAAGTTCATATATGGATGACTTATGTGTGAATGATATTCATGACGCCTTGTATAATATGGATGTGGTTGACTATGGTTGACTATTTGTGTTGTACGGCGGGTTGTTGACGTGTTCGAGTAGGTCCGGGGCGTGACATTTAAAGACTTAGGCGTCTAGGTCTCTGGTTCAAGTCTATGGACACCAGATTGAAAAACTTCACCCCATATATGAACTTAATAAGAAATTATTATTATTTTTAAATACATAAAATTATTCATTTGAAATATGTGGGGGGATATTGCACCTGAAATTAACAAGAGAAAGCAAAAGGCAGCACAATTTTTGAAGTCACCATACGTGTCAAGAGTGCTTGATGCTGGAGAACCAACGAAGATGTTTGAGCGGGAGATGGCTGCCTGGTTATTGCTCCAACTTGAAGCTGATATGTATGATTATTTTTTGTATTTAGTAATTATATTTTTAGTAATTAGTGGTGGTAAATTTGTGATTGTTGAAAATGGACAGGAACGAGATCATGTTCAAATACAAGAACTACGCTGTGAAGCGACGGATCTGATGACGTTGAAGGAAGGAAACCAGATCAGTGAGAATGTTTTAGATGTTTGTGCAAGTGTGCTAAACTACAGAGAGAGAGAACCCACAGCAGCTCCTCACCTTGCAGATTCTTTGCAAAGGCAATCCAATGGGTAAGTAATAATGCTGAATTGATAACAGATGTATTAATAATTAGTTAAATAAAATGTAGACGCACACAATGGATGATGAGGTGGTGAAAAGCAAAGAGAAAGTGTATGACATACTTACTGCTGCGATGGATTTTGGGCTGGATGTAGTGAAATTAAAGATGAGTTTGATTGGGATAAAACTGATCTGGTAAGAGTGTATGTTAGTAAGTCTGCATATGATTGTATACGATAATGTAGTATAATGTGTCTGCTACTTGTTCAGTTCTTCTTCCCAATAATGCAATTTAGGCATTGCTATGTAATCTGTTTGAACGTGAAGAACAACAGAGTAGACATATTGGATAACTCGTCTGCTAGAGTGCATGCGAAGGATAAGTATGAAGGGATGCCAGAAACTTTAGTAAGTAAAGTTTTTGTAAAAATGTGAGCACTAAGATGAAGTTGTCCTATGCACTGCACAGTAGCTTGAATTCTTATTGAAACTAGTAGTAGATACCAGTTTATAATGCTATGATAATGTGGTAATGATGATCTGGAGAATCATGAATTGCAGGTATCATTGTTTGTTAAGTATATGACAGAGATAGGAATGCATAAGAGAGTTGAAGCAATTACTAAGAAAAAACCTTCGAGACTTCCGATGAAATGGAGGGACGTGAAGAACGTAACTGATCATGGTGTGCTTGCAATGCGTCATATGGAGACGTACCAAGGTGAAGGACTCACGGGGTGTGAATCTGGCCTTAGACGAGAAGGTAAGAAGCAGATCTTAACAATACGGGTGAAATACGCAACAACTATTTACTAGAAGACATGAACGAGAAGAAGGTAGATAATCTGACAAAGGCGAAAGAGTACGCGAAGACAAAAGTAGTGGAAGTGCGTTTTTTTTAACAATTAAGTTTTTCTGTGCTTTAATTTAATTTCGAAAACTTATGCGTATTTGGGTTTTGATGAAATGTGTGGAAAATATTGTCCCCAGCCTTTTTTTGAGACATTTAAATGTGGCTTTCAAACAGTGCTATTGTAGGGAATAAAAGGGGATCGATTTCCTACTAGAGTGAAGATCTGAGCATATTGAAATGACATTTTAATATTCATGCAGATTGCTATGTTTGGTTAGCATTTCTAAAATGGCATTTACTTTGGTTTTTGGAATGTTGAATCTTTTTTTTGGTTGGTGATTTTATGGCTATTATGGAACATGTGATTGTTTTTGTTTTTTAAATATGGAAAGTTTTGGATTAACGTAGAAGTGCATAATAGGTACGTAATGGTGAACCTCTGCGTATGTTAATTGATTTAATAATATGCACACTCATAATTCAAGATACTCGACTTTAATGGTGCATGAATAAATTTTGGGAAGTTAAGGAAATTAATTATTGTAAATGGTGTGGTGTGGTTCATTGAAGGTCCTCATACTCGTTATTGTAGTGGGTATTGTATTAGGTGAATGGATATGGAGTAAAAGTGCGTAATAGGTCTTGTAAATGTGTACCTATACACATTGAAAAAGTGCATAAGAGGTTTTGTAAATGTGTACCTATACAAATTGAAAAAGAGTACATGTGAATGGATATGGAGTAAAAGTGCATAATAGGTTTTGTAAATGTGTACCTATACACATTGAAAATGATTTAATAGTGTTTTGTGTTTATTAACGAGGATGTTTGTAGTGATTCTAATATTTATTATTTACGGTCACACAAAATAAAAATGGAATGCAGATTGTATGCACCTATGAATATGTGTGTGAATGGAAAAGATATGTCTTCTTGAAACGGTGGTGTTTTTTTGTCACAAATAATGTGTGAATTAGAATGGTGTTAAAAAAGGCATTTTAAAATAGTTGTTTGACTTGTTTGTAGTAGTGGATATCAAAGGAATGTGTCCCAAAGGAATAATGTGTAGACATTAAACAAGTAATGTATTATACGGGCAAACAAATGTAGGCAAACAAATTTAAATTGAAAGGTATAAAAGTAATATATTAGTAATTCAAAAGACAAACCAGTGTAGAGTAAAAGGTCTGAGGGTGGGTTGTAACCCATAAAGACAAATGTTAGATACTAAAATGTAGACATATGTAAGTGCTCAATGGACATTATTTTAGGGACAATTTCTGCTATCATGAAATGACATCTCATTGCAACTTCTACACAACCGCTTTGCACGCTTACTTTGAGCTTTAACTAACTCCTTAGCACCTTTAATTCATCTCTTACCCAAACCCTTATTGTGTGCTTGAGGGGGTTGAAGAACATTGACTGAAGTGGGTGCTGCCGAGCCAAAAATGACTGAATGACACTTTTCTAGTTTGTTAAAGAATGTGCATTTTGAATTGTAGACTGAAGATGTTTCTTTTGTTCAGTAATGGCTCTGGAAAACTGCTGCAAAAGAGAAGAATCATTTTCTACCATCACAACACATGAATGTATGTCAGACCATAATTGGTTAATAACAAATTTGTTTTCCTCCAAGGCCGCACTTTGTTGTGTAACTGTATCACCTATATCAAATAAGGGTTTTATAGAACCTTTCTTGAACCAACGTGTATTTAGAAAATCAGATGGAGTGGTTTCGAATTTGAAGTCTTTCAACACAACAAAAATATGTCTGCACACCAAACCAAGCCGTAGAAAATATATGTAGCTGCAAGTTGAATTAGAGGCATCCAGTGAACATCGAACAGTAAAGTGAAAACCACGTTCATCATATATTACATACTCTAAGCCACTTTCCACTTCTTGCACACCTATAACACGACAAGAAAAACAGGCAAAACATATCTCGGCCTGGACATCATAAAAAATGGACAATGTGTAAACTCTTGCAGCATATTTCTCAATTGGTAGTGGCGTCTTGTACGGTGGAAAATAAGATTCGGAATTAGAACTTAGCTTTGCATTACCGTGTCGTTGTGATTCCATTACACTCTCAAATTGCATGTAGAATTCAATCAAGCTAAAGTGGGGATTGGAAAAATCACCGAAAAAGTTATTTTCGCTCTCGGATCGTGACGTTGTACGAAGTAAGCCGACCATATACAAGTCTCGAAAATATGAAGGAATCCAATCCCAGCGGATCTCATACAAGTTTGTTAACCAAACATGATTTTGCAAACCAAATTCATCCATTATAGACATCCATTTTTTCTCAAAGACTTCGGGTTCAAGATAATGGCTCCAAACAACGTAATTTAGCTTAGACATAAAATCAGAATTCTTACTCAAAATAGGACCAACCTTGGATGAAACTTTGGACATTATATGCCACATATAGAAACAATGACACATAGTTGTAAACACCTTACCGAATGCAATTTTCATGGATGGGTCTTGATCAGTCATGAGGCAAATTGGTTCACGGACCATAGCATCAAGAAATTGTCTAAAAAGTCACGTATATGATTCGACATCCTCTTTTAATAGTAGACCAGCACCAACAGTAACACATTTTTTGTGATTGTCTACACCAGTGAAAGGAGCAAAAACCATATTGTACCTACACATATTAGAGTTGAGTAAACATGCTTGAGAGATGCTGAAATGTAAGACTTATAAACATAACAAAATGTAATATTTTTAAAAGAACTAAATAGTTTGCAAAAACCCAGGAATTTGTAATGTTAAAGGTTTTTTGTCGTGAATAGAAAAGTGCATCCGAGGTAGTGAAAAGTGCATATGTAGAATACAATAATCTATTGTAAGTAAAAATTCATAAAAAATGTTACAAAATAATTATTACCTATTCGTGTCGCAAGTTGCGTCAAATGACACAACATCACCAAACATGGAATAGTTTGCTCTCGCAATCGGGTCCGTCCAAAAAAGTCTAGTCGCTGGTCATTCTCATCTGTGCATCTACCCCAGCAATATAGGTCTTCAGATCCTTTTTGAAAATTTTAAAGTCCACCGACATTGCACCAATATTTGAATACCCCCGTACGGAATCCTTAAATAATTTATAACATTTCATGGTGCTAATATTAGCTTTAGCACAATTCAAAATGAATTTTTGATGACCAATATCAAGGCTCCTGTTAACCTTTAAAATTGGTTTCACTAAATCGGATGACATAGGATGATTATGACGCTCTTCAAAGCCAAAGATTGAGTATCCACGTCGGCCACAAAAATTGAATGATATACGTACTTTGCATCCAATTCGATTCGATACTCGACATCTCTTTGTAGGAGAAGAAGCACCGACATGCTGGTATGGTCTACCACATGTAGAATTTGAGGTGTTGTAGTACTTCCATTTTGAGGAACAGGCAGAGTTTGAGGTGTTGTAGTACATCCATTTTGAGGTGCGTGACTCTTGCCAGTATCTTTAAACCCCGCTCTACTGCAAACTACACACTTCAACTTTAATGTGGTATCCCTAGCTTTTGAAGAAGTGCCAAGGCGGATTCCAAAACTAGTAACTCCAGCATATTACTTGTAACATTCCACACCATCCTTCAGAGTTTGAAACGTCTGACCAATATATGGTTTCACATCATCACTGCACTGTGGAATCCAATATTTGGTCTTTTCGAGTGATATTTGCAACTTACAACAAGAACTCAATTGTGTAGGTGAAAGCGAAAGGTCATTGTTGGAGAAACAAGAAGAAGATGAGAGAACCTCATAATCTGCATGGTCGTGATACAAAATTAAAGTATATGCGAACGTACAATATTTTGAAGTGTACATGCATTAATACTAAATTTTGAAGAATTTAAAGTGCAAATTAAACTGTGTGCATGCCTTGATTAAAGTATATAATTGGATACATAAATCGTAATGGAAAATAAAGAAGAATGCATACAGACAATACAAAGATGGGAAATAGTCTGGTTTAAACAAGATACCATGATATAAAAAAGAATGAAAATAACTAGTTCTAATCATTCCAAAAACTCACCAATTGAATGATCAGTTTAGACATCTGGAGAAAATGATTACAACTAATTACAAATAAATACGCACCGTTCTCCATTACAAGATGTGTAGGAGTGCAACAAGATCGTCAGATTACAGAATAGGTAGGTAGAAGTATTTGACAGCCTTCGAACTGGATAGTGCCTTAAAAACAACAAGGGTATTACCTACACACCAAAGAAAATACAAAACACATGATCTGGGTGGAACTTAGGCAAAAACATGGAAATAAGATGAAAACGTACCCGCAGGCATGGAGATGAATGAATAGTGAGAATAAAGGATGGAAGATGACATCAGACAATGACTAGGAAAAAAATAGAAAGCTAATAAACGTAAGGTTATTTAAAAATGGAAATAAATGTAGACTTACCAATCTGGAGTTGTGAAATAAAAGAAGGCTATGACACACACGCACATAAATACCCCCCAGTAGCTTGTGAAATCGTGACCATGAATTTTATTTAATAAGGAATTCTAGGGTTGAGATTACTTCTTAGTTTGCATGGGAAGGGGTGTTTTTACATGATCCATAATATGCATATATATATATATATATATATATATATATATATATATATATAGTGCTCTTCTCATCAGGCCGGCCTGACGGGATGCTCCGTCCGGCCGAGCCCATTTGGGAACCTTCCCGGTGGCATTTTTTGATGAAATTTTTTGAGAATGTTCCCCATCAAGTCTAGTTTGTCCATACCAAGTTTCAACTCAAAATTAGATCGGGAACGCATTCAAATCATTTTTTGAAGTTGACTGCGTCAAAATATACATATAAAACTGCAGTCAACTTCAAAAAATGATTTGAATGCCTTCCCGATCGCATTTTGAGCTGAAATTTGGTATGGACAAACTAGACTTGATGAGGAACATGCTCAAAAATTTTCATCAAAAAATTCTACCGGGAAGGTGCCCAAACGGGCTTGGCCGGACGGAGCAGCCCGTCAGACCGGCCTGGCATGAACATTCCTCTCTCTCTCTCTCTCTCTCTCTCTCTATACATATATATATATATATATTGCAAAGTATAATGATATATATTAAATTAAGGGGTTTTTTCTTAAATATTAGTAATAAAATTGTCATGGACAAAAATGTGACTTAGTAACTATTAGTGACTATAGTTGTGTTCAAAGTTTACATCATAGTAACTTACATTTAATTACCACGATATAAATTTTGAACACAATTTTAGTCAGTAATAGTTACCAAGTAATATTTTTGTTCACCACATTTTAAAGAGTAATATGGTCTCTCTAGTAAATAATGCATTATTCCCCTTTTTCGTAGGGGAATCAAAAGAACTTAGGATTGAAAAATCAAAACACATATTGGGGATTCTAGGAAAATATTTTGCACTTTATTTTGAGTTTTGACCAGTGCTAACCTCGTGTTTTTCATAATTTATAAACAAATCTATATGATTGTAATTAGAGGTATTTACCTAAACGGGAGTAATTAACTCTTTAATTGCCAAAATAGAACTAAAGTTTAAAACTCCCCTAAATAGGAGTTATTATTTGCAACTGGACAAAAACACCCTTGGAGCTTGGTAATTATACTGCTGCCGAGCATAAGAACAGACCACCGCCGGCTGCCGGACGCCGGACGCCGCCGCCATCTCAAAACCGCCCGAAATTGCATATTTGACTGTCGCCGATGTACATATGCTTGTCGCTTCTGCAGATCCGGCAGCCGCCACCGGAGATCTAGTCAGATCTAGCTTCTCCGGCCGCCAACCGTCGTCTTTGTAGATCCGACCACCATCACATCTAATCCGGCAACTGCAAATATGGCCTCTATCATTGTAGATCTGATTGTTTTCGGCGAGACTGCCAAATTTTTTTTTATCAAAATGCCAAAATGAATTGAAAATTCCATCTTAATGGCATTTCTAAAGAAAAATATAATTTTTTCGTAGAACAAGAATGCCATTTTCATGGCATTTCATAGTTGAGCTTGACATTTTTTACAAATCAAACAAGCAAAATAGAGCATATGCAACCAAATATAATAGGGGAAGAGAGAACAAGAGAAGAGGGAGGAAGAACGTGGATAAGAATCAGAGAAGAGAATTTGACCTTAGAAGAAGAGAAGAAGACCTCCGGCGGTGACGGCGGTGGACTTCGCATCAGCAGTGGCGATGGATATCACTGGGCTTCTCGATTTTGTTGTTGCTGTGCAAAGGAGGAAGAAGGAGAAGATTTACATGGAAGGAGAAGAAGATGTGTTGGGGGAAGGGAAGAAGAAGATACGTTGGGGAGAGAAGCAGATGCGCAGGGGGTGACTGGGTGAGTACCGATGAGAAGCAGACGCACGCAATGAGGCGTAGAGAAAGAGAAATAAATAAGGATAAGTGGGTAATTCAGTCCTATTTAGGGCAAAAAATATACATACTCCCATTTAGGAATTTCTGGAATAATTTAGTCCCATTTAGGGCAATAAGTCTTGTAATTATCGTTATAAAAGTTGCGCAACATACTTCTTGAAAACACGTATAGATAAATACATAAATTACTAAAATAACTTTTCTTAATAATTATAAAATTGTCGAAGGAGGCTTCAAAGTTCTTCTCATCTTTATTCACTTGTTTCTATTTTTAATCCCATCATTTCTATTCTGATTTCTTGGTAGCCCTTTCTCGTATTCTTGGCGTTGTTTGAGTTTTTCATATTTTTCATATCAGTTGCTTTAAACCTGATAAAACATAGTGTGGTCAAATATCTATATCTCATTCTTTGCCTTCTCAATATGTGAGAAACTAAAGCGGGAAGACATAGTGTGACCAAATGATTGATGATAATAAATTTCAGAGCGACATAAAATTAAGGAAAAGAAAGAAGAGAAATTATATTGCACATGGAGCCATGCAGGTTGATCAAGAACGGACCAAAGAAGAAGACAATGAAGACGAAGGCATGATGGCTGAGTCGATTGATCACTTGACCAAGGTACCAAGAAAGAAGAAAAATAAAATAAAATAAAATGAAGTTACCTTCAGGTCAATTGGTTTAAATGCCCACTTTACAAGTAGATAGATGAACATAACCAAGGTTTGTGGTGACCTGGGTTTTCGACAAACACATAACTTTTGATTTCGCGCACTGAATTGTGTAATAATCAAAATAAGTAAAATTATACTACGTAATTACTTTGCTGGCTGAAGTTATTGTAAAGCACCATTTTTTATTAATAAAATATATTCTGTTTTTTTATTTATAATTTAGCAGAATCAATCAATTTAGTAGCTTATCCAGAACTTCATCAATTTCAGCGGATCATTAGATTCAACTAATTTAAATATTATCAAAAGGGGTCAACCCTTATTTAGTCACAAGAACCTAAACGATGATTTTAATAATACAATATGTGATTGCAACATATGTTGTAAACGTGAATAAAAAAAGAATAGTACAAGAATTAATTTTACATTGTTGTGAACTTGAAGTTCTCTCATTACTCGCACGCAAGACAATGTGCCTATTTATAAGCAGGAATTGAAGCCTTTACTTTAGACCGCGTTTTAAAGCCGTGAGATTCTAAAGTATCAAAGCGAACAATATCCACAAGTTGTTTAAAACATGTTATCAGCATGATGCTCGATTGCTCGCTATGAGGGAGTGTATTGTGAACCTGAAAAACACATTAAAACAAGTTATTAGAACATTTTATCTAGAAAAAATGACATGTATATTACTAATAGAGTTTTCCAAGACCAAAATATGTCTAGTTATGTTTTTTGTACAAAAATATGACTAGTCACTGATAGATGATGAATCGTTAGGAACTAGTAACTAAATATTTCATTTTTTAAAAAATGAATCATATCTTGGGCTTTTGGATTTAATTTTGTAATATTCATGAAAAAATGCCTTTTATCTGTTATCTAGATTACAATTATTTTCGGGACAATTCACGAAATAGGAGTCAAAACGTTTCACAACTCGGACTTCCAAATTTTCTCTCTCTAAGTTGAAGTAATTAAAATAGAAACAATCACATATAGTCCCATACTCGTATTATAGGAGTCGTATATTCCAAAATTTTATGGAGCCCTATATGACTCCACTATGGAGTCATATAACACATGTGGCATTATCATAACCATTCATTTCTAAAGTGGATTTATAGTTGAGGATCCTATTTCATGAATAAATGATTGTGATGGTGCCACATATGCTAAATGATAGTGGAGTCATATAGGGCTCCATAAAATTTCCCGTCGTATATAGGCAAATTTAGGGGTGGGCAAAAATACCGAAATATCGGTATACTGCACTTATCGTTCCGAAAAATACCGGAAAATACCGAAATATTGGTATACCGTCATTTTCGGTACGGTATCATACCGTACCGATCTATTTCGGCACGGTAACGGTAAATGTTTTCAAATACCGCGGTATACCGGTATAATACCGTACCGACTCCCTACTCAACAATTACTTTTAATTCTAATACTTCCTCCGTTCTATAATTCTTGCAACATTGTGATTTTTACACTATTCACAGATCGTACTTTGACCATGATTTTCTACTAATATACATAATCAAATTATTACGTATAAAATGTTATTGAACTCTTATCAATGTGAATTTCCAAAATATCAACTTTTTATAATGTTTACTAATACATAATTAAATATAATTACAATCAAAGTTGTGCATTGGCAAACGTGAAAGTCAAACTGTTGCAAGAATTATAGAACGGGGGATAGTATATTGTAGAAATCCATTACAATTTTGAAGCCCAAAATTAATACTTTTTTTTTCGAGGGTCCAAAATTAATACTTAAGTTGGTTACAAATACAAAAATACAAAAATACAAAAATAAAGGCCCATCTCAAACCCACTATAACCTTATAGGCTTCTACTACGCTAACCTTAATGACTAATGACTAATGTGCAAATGTCAAGAAACAAGTCCATCTTGTTCCAAGATCTTGCAAGTCGTGATGGTTGAGCCGCTAAGTAGCTGACAAGTGAAGAGAGATACACTTATGTGACAAGTGTATCTAGCTACATAGGGATTCCGCAAGTCGAGACACACAACTTTATCCGAAAGTCTTATTCAAATTTTAAAAAATTATAAAAATGACTAAATACACAATATCATATTAGAAATAAATGATTTTATATCCATGTTGTTTGAATAGTTTTATTTATTTTTGTTAGAGATCACTGTTGATTTAATTATATCTATATTGTTCAAGTTATTTTAGGAGAATGTGTTACTTTTTAATATGCGGAATGTTGAACTGCTTAAATATACTAATAATAATAATTATTATTGTTCAATATTGAATTGACATCAATAGATTATTAATTGTATTTCGTAACATTTTAATAATAGATTTAACATGTCACTAGTAATAACGATTTAGTATATTTCGTTAGTCTATGATAATTTTTTGTATTGAGAGACATGCACGGTAATTTACCGATACCGTACCGTTACCGAACCGAAACTTCGGTATACCGAAATGCGTATACCAAAACTTCGGTAAGGTAAAGTTTTGTAAATTTTGCATACAAGAAGTTTTGGTATGACAAGTTTTCCTATTATAGCTTCCTACTCTCGATTAGAACCCTAAAATTGAAAATCCGTTCGCTTCGCTCAACTTCAAGCAGAATTTAGAAGCAGCAAATTGCAACTCTTGTATAGCTTCCAGAGAAATACTGAGATATGAGTCGGCCGTTGGACGAGGCAGTAACCAAACTGGACGGCGTGAAGAAGCCTGTATTCCTTACCAAAGCTCAGAGAGAACAGTTGGCTCTTCAGCGCCGCCAGGAAGAAATCGTCGAGCAAAAGCGCCGTGCAGAGATGATTCTCCAACAAGCCAACCGACCTTCCAGCAATCCAGCCTCCTCGCATAAAGATAACGGCAGGCCCTCCTCCAATGATGATCGCGATCGCGACAGGGATTACCATCGCTCCCGCGATAAGGACAGGGAGAGGGATCGAGAGAGGGAGCGTGAAAGAGACAGGGAACGTGAAAGAGAGAGGGAGCGTGAAAGAGACAGGGAACGCGATTCTGAGCGCAGGAAGCGCGAAAGGGAACGTGAGGATGATGCCAAAGAACGGGATCGTGCTAGAATTGAGAAATCAGCTGACCGGGAGAGGGAGAAGGAGCTTGAAGCCATCAAAGAGCAGTACTTGGGCTCTAAGAAACCTAAGAAACGAGTCATTAAGCCTAGTGAGAAGTTCCGCTTTTCATTTGATTGGGAGAACACAGAGGACACCTCCCGTGATATGAATTCACTGTACCAAAACCCTCATGAAGCTAGACTGCTCTTTGGCCGTGGTCTTCGAGCAGGGATGGACAGGAGGGAGCAGAAAAAGCTGGCTGCAAAGAATGAGAGAGAGATTCGGGAAGAGATCCGGAAGAAGGATGGTACTGAGGAGACAGCAGGTGAAGCAGCCGCAATCAAGAAAAAAGAGCAGGCAGCTGATTCGTATGACACCTTTGACATGAGGGTGGACCGCCATTGGTCCGACAAGAAGCTTGAGGAAATGACCGAGAGAGACTGGAGAATATTCAGGGAGGATTTCAACATTTCATACAAAGGATCCAAGATTCCCCGCCCCATGAGAAGCTGGACGGAGAGCAAGCTAACCCCAGAGCTTCTCAAGGCTGTTGAGAGGGCTGGGTACAAGACCCCATCTCCCATCCAAATGGCCGCAATTCCCCTTGGTCTTCAACAGAGAGATGTAATTGGTGTTGCTGAAACTGGATCAGGTAAAACTGCTGCCTTTGTTCTTCCCATGTTGACGTATATCTCAAGGCTTCCTCCCATGAGTGAAGATAATGAAGCAGAAGGACCTTATGCTGTTGTCATGGCTCCCACACGAGAGCTTGCCCAACAGATAGAGGACGAGACTGTTAAGTTTGCACATTATTTGGGCATCAAAGTAGTTTCTATTGTTGGTGGGCAGTCTATTGAAGAACAAGGTTTTAGGATTAGACAGGGTTGTGAGGTGGTCATTGCCACCCCTGGGCGACTCATTGATTGCCTAGAGAGACGGTATTGTGTTCTCAACCAATGTAATTATGTTGTGCTAGATGAAGCAGATCGTATGATTGACATGGGTTTTGAACCTCAAGTTGTTGGTGTACTTGAGGCCATGCCGTCTAGCAATTTGAAACCAGAGAATGAGGATGAAGAGCTTGATGAGAAGAAGATTTATCGAACAACATACATGTTCAGTGCTACCATGCCACCTGCTGTGGAACGACTGGCAAGAAAGTACTTAAGGAACCCTGTTGTCGTTACAATTGGAACTGCTGGAAAGACAACTGACCTTATTACCC